TACAGAGTCCTGATGACTCCTAACTTGTGCTCCAAAGGGTGATGGGAGTCAAACTGCAAATACTGGTCTGTGTGGGTGGGTTTGCGGTACACCTCGGTTTGCAAATGTCCTCTATCAGAGACTGAGACCTCACGGTCCAAGAAAGCCAACTTGCCATTTTTTACATCTTCTCGTGTGAACTTGATGTATTTATCCACAGAGTTGATGTGGTCAGTAAAATGTTGGACTTCCTGAGATTTAATTTTAACCCATTTTTAACCCAATTTTAATCCTTGAACAGATGTTCAAGGATAACAAACAGTAATGAAATTATTCCTTTTGTCAGAATCAAAGCATTGCTTTTGAGAAACATACAAAAATAAAAATACCAAATCAATGTCCAGATATAAGAAAATAAAAACATAAATGTTATCAAATGTAAAATGTCTGCCAGTGAACGTTCCACTGGGTTCAAAAATGAATGAGGCAACAGGATGGGCTGGAGCGAGCGTCACTTTACTGACCTGTGGCTTTGAGAGCGTTGCGCAGCTCGTATGACGACATCTTCCCTGATCGATCCGTGTCAAAAGCCAGGAAGAGCATCTGAAACAAGGAGTTTGTTTTAATTATCCTGGAGGATATGCTGCAGGTCTGTACTCCCCAAACTTTCACCACTACCATTAATTCACAACCTAACCACATCAAACAATACCCACAATCCACTTCTTCATCTTCTCCCAGAACACCTTAAACTCTTGAAACTCCAGCTTCCCAGTGTTGTCCACCTGGTTTACTGTGTTAAGAAAAACTGTAAAAAATATGTACACCTTGGAGAAGAAAAACTTTGTATTTCAAAACCAATGTATCTTTTTATCTCATACATGAGTAAACACAGCAAAAGAGTCACGGTGCCATCTTTTTCCAAGTTTTTCTTGTTGATATAAGAGCCTGAAATCCTAAAGACATGAACAAACTCACACATCAACATCACCTGCAGCAAACTGATGTTACTGTAAAAATTCTACAACAAAAAGTTTCTGCGTAACATTTGATTTGGTGAGAGCAGATTTAGTGAAACCTCTGCAACAAATCAGTTAAAATTTGATTTGTTTAAAGACAGATGGTGATGAATAATTTATATTTTTATAACACTAGGGGTGCCCACACTTATTCAGCATGTGAGCTACTTATAAAATGACCAAGTCAAAATGATCTACCTACACATATTAAGTATTTTTTTGTACAAAATATGTTGATGTTGTATGTTGTGTAACTGCATGAATCTATCCAACAACTTTCAGTCAGGTCATCAGCACAGTTTCTTTTTTTTTTGCTGAAACGTTTCACCTTCCATCCGGAAGGCTTCATCAGTCAAGGAAACACACAACACAAAACTGATTCTTCCCCCAAACAGCTTACTCCAAAGTGGAACAAACCAGTTATGTTGGTGCTAAGATGGTGTCTTTGGCATGCCCTCTCCTCTGGAGCCAGCCCTCTTCCTCGTCGACAGTCATGTCAAACTGGTTCAAATCCAAAAACGTCCATGCTCAATAATCCATTATATAAGCCAACAATCTTTTTTTGCTTTTGAACCAGTTTGACATGACTGTCGACAAGAAAGAGGGCCGGCTACAGAGGAGGGGGTGTGCCAAAGAGACCATCTTAGCACCAACATAACTGGTTTGTTCCACTTTGGAGTAAGCTGTTTGGAGGAAGAATCAGTTTTGTGTTGTGTGTTTCCTTGACTGATGAAGCCTTCCGGATGGAAGGTGAAACGTTTCAGCAAAAAAACAACAAAAAAAACTGTCCAGATGAGCTGACTGAAAATTGTTGGATTGTATACCTGGATTATTGAGCATGGACATTTTTGCATGAACCTATATTGCACAATACAACTCTGTACATTTTTTGACAGTATCTTATTCTGATGACTTGCACTGAATGGAATTGGCCAGAGATGCATAGTCCAGACAGTAGCTGCTGATAGCTAGCCTCAACCACATTTCTAAACGATCATCAGTCATGGTGGAATGGTATTTGGACTTAATAATCTTCATATGGGAAAAGGCTGACTCGCATAAATAAGTGGAGCCGAATAATGCGGTCAAAATGCCTCTCCACATTTCCTTTCTTGGAAATAGTAATGGTAGACTGGCAGATGAGGCAAACGCAGTTCAAATTTGACATCGTGAAAAAAGTCCTCCTCCCATTCTGTATGGAAATATTAGGTTTTCTGCTTCTTACCTGGTCCAGCTCCCAACTCATTTTATGCACGAAGAAATAAACTGGAGGCTAGCTAGGCAACTCGGTAGCTTTCTAGTTTTTGGTGTGGTTGTTAGCACATGCGTGGTGGCTCATGTGTCAGAAAAGTTCAGGTCTCAGACTGGCTGCCCTGTATGCCAATCAAGTGACAAGTTTCATAATGAGGATGGATGATGGGTTGATGTCTATTTTTTTTTAATGCCATGCAATCTCCCCATAATACCTTTGTGATTGACCAGTAGATCATGATTGACCAGTAGATCATGATCGACATATTGGGCACCCCTGCACTAGACCAAGTGTCCCTGCCTTGACTTGTTGTTGAGCATTGAAGCCAGCAGGGTCATGTCAGGTTTTATTTTTTGGACCCTGCGATGTAGGGATTTATTCCCTTGCACACAATCATGGTGTTGTATCTGACACAGGGTGTCCTGAATCTGTACATGGTACTATGAAACCTCAAGACCATCAAGGTATTTTGGCTTGAAATGTGCTACTTGGTGTCAGAAAGCTTGGTCTCACTTGCAGCTCATAGGTCAACCAATAGGATAATGGTCCAAAATACACATCTGAAACCACACAGAAATGGTTCAGAATCTAATATTGGACTATTCTGAAGTGGCCTTCTGATCCCTGATCTAAGTCCTGTTAAATGTCTGTGGAAGGAGCTGAAACATGAAGTCTGGAAAAGAAACCCTTCAAACCTGAAACAGCAGGAGCAGTTTGCACATGAGGAGTGGACAAAATCACCTGAGGACAGGTACAGAAGTGTCAAAGTGTTACAGACATCACTTGACTGTACAGATTGCCTCAAAATGTTGTGCAACAAAATATATATAACATTAAGTGTACCATGTTTTTGTCTAATTTGTTTGCGTCTATAAGTAGCTACACAACACCACAAACACAATATAACAATGGGTATAACATGTACAGTGGTGCTTGGAAGTTTATGAAGCCTTTAGAATTTTCTATATTTCTGAATAAATATGATCTAAAACATCAGATTTTCACACAAGTTCTAAAAGTAGACAGTTTAAACGTCTTGCTGTTATGTAATTGATGACATAAAATGGGAAACCTTTCCCTCTTCCCATGAGTTCATCACTTCACAGGTTTGAGACCCCTCAGCCATCGAGCCCCATCAGCTCTGACTCGAGGTCAGAGAAGTTCCTGCCGGTTCTGTCAACGTGCCTGAAATGAGTCCGTCTACTGAAATAACAGGAAGGATACGTCCATCAGGTTGATGATGCTGTGACAGGTGCTGAGACTCAGGCCGTCAAATTTGATCTCTTTTCCTGAGGACAAAGTATTCACAGAAGGGACAGGTCATTTATTAAACACATAGTTTGAGCCACAAGTTACAGTTACTTTTATCACCAACATATTTCAGTTTAGTTTGAGAGGCTGTAGAATCATAAAGAAAGAAGTCACGTTAACTTGTGCCCAGTATTGTTGACAGACATCACAAAAACTAGTGTTGAATGTTGATCTGAGGACTGCGAGAACAAAAGGCACTATGATTAAATCAAACAAGATTGTATTATAAACTGGGTGGCGGGGGGGGGGGGGGATCCCTATTAAAGCTGTCTGTGGGAGTGCATCAGTTTTGTTCCTCGTCTGCCCGACTTCTTTGACAATAAACCGCTTTAGATGTATCCAAACAATTAGTCTTTCGTGGACTTACGTCTGCTGAGGACTCCGTTCAGCATCTGCTGCAGCTCCATGACACAGATGGCCTTGTCCTGTAAACAGCAGGGGGTAGGAGAAAAGACAAAAGATGAATCTGCACATACTTCTGTAAAATCAGACATCTACCTATCTAACAAAATTCTGTTTTATTATTTTCTTCTTCTTTCGGCTGCTCTTTTTCAGGGATCGCCACAGCAAACTAAGTTGCATGAAGACGGCAACTATTTTTATACCAGATGTTCTTCCTGAGGCAACCACAGACCACCGAGCTACCACAGCCCTCTGTGTGGAGCAGAGAGCTGCATCTAGGGTGCCTGGAGGAGCAGATGGTGGGGGTTAAGGGCAGCTGCTCAAGGGCACAGAGTGGGGCAAATGAGGATGGAGGCAGGTGTGGGTGCTTCACCTTTCCCACCACATTTTGATGTTGTCGGTACCGGGAGTTGACCTGACGATCTTCCGATCATAGGCCCACCTTCTGTAGCCTCTGCACCACCACTTCCTCTAACAAAATTCTGTTAATTTAGAACAGGGGTCTGCAACCTGCGGCTCTGGAGCCACAAGCGGCTCTTTGGTCCCTCTGCAGCGACTCTTTCAAGCTTTAACCAAAACTAACAAAAAACTGAATTTTATTGGTTATACGAACAACAATAAAGTACTACTTTTAGCAGTTTTACTGTAATTTATTTTGCAAATATGTGAATACTGGAACAAGTACAAGGAGTAAAACATACTCACTTTAACTTTATGCTTTATCTCTATACTTAATTTTTGACAATTAAAAAAAATACATAGGTCTGCATAGTTTATAGTTTTTATTAATTAAAGAAATTAGCCCCTCGCCCCAAGAATCTGGTCCTTTCATTTGTCATAAGTTGTAAAAATATCAATAAATGTTGAAAAGCAGCAGCCCGATTTTTAACCAGTACAGGCAAAAGAGAGCACATTACACCAGTTTTGGCCTCACTGCACAGATTACCGGTTCACTTTTGAATCCAGTTCAAAATACTCATGTATATCTACAAATCACTGAACAATCCCCCCCCCATCTCTCTGATCTGCTACAACCGTATGGCCCACCACGTTCCCTGAGGTCAGCGGACCAGTTGCTCATCACAGTTCCAGGAACTCGTCTTAAGTGCAGAGGTGACAGGTCCTTCTCTGTAGCAGGACCAAGACTTTGGAATGAGTTACCTCTGCTTGTCAGACAGGCCCCCTCCCTCTCGGTATTCAAGTCCCGTTTAAAAACTCACTACTATTCAGTAGCTTTCAACACCAGATTATCTGTGTTTTGAACCTGTATGTTCCACACTGGTTTGTCGTCATTATCTGCATCGTTTTTTTGTCTATATTCTGATTTACCTCATTTTGTATTTTGCTTTGTGTGTTGCCTGTTGTTCTGTCTGTACAGCACTTTGGTTGGCCTTGTCGCTGTTTTAAGTGCTCAATAAATAAAATGGTATGGTATGGTAAAAATCATTAGATATTTTTAGCCTTATAATGTCACCCCTAGTGGCCACAAAAGGCCCCTCCAACAAACCTACAGTGGCCCATGGGCCACCAGTTGATAACCACAGTTGTAGCATGTTGTTGCGACTCTGAACACTTTTAGTTTAGTGAACGAAGGCGTAAAAATGGCTCTTTTGATCGTAAAGTTTGCAGACCCCTGATATTTAGAATATTAATTTAAAATTAAAAGTCCTTGCTGCAGTCCAACTTGGACTCACTCTCAGCAAACTGCGACCTCAGTAAAGACCATTAATTTCCAAAAAATCCTAACAAGAGTATGGCACATTATATGCCCGTCAACAAACTCTTATATAGAAGTCTATGGCAATGGCCTGGACAAACAAAGACCTTGTATAACAGCTGACCATAATTGTGACCTTCATCTTGGAGCTTGGGTGAGGGTGTGTGTGACACTCCGTCTATGATGATGCATACTGAAATATATATTCATCATATAATATATTAACTTAATGAAATGTTTAGATATATGTATCCTGTTTTATTATTTATAATGATATTGTGTTAAAACACGATCTGATTCCATTTCTGGAAGAAAATGTAGTTTCAGCTACATGCCTACAACTCCCAACATTCACGCGCCCACCCATTATAGAACAAGACGGCGAGATATTATTGGTTGAGAGCTGGGTCACATGATAGAGTAGGGCTTCCCAGTCGTCGATGGTGGTGACGACTCCTGGAAGGTGTGGCCGAGCTCTGAAGAAGATGGGTTTTCTGTTTACACTCGGGGCCATTGTTTGTGCCTCATGGTGAAGTGGTAATAATAATAATAATGTCATCACAATATCAGCACTGTATGTTTCCATACAATGGAGAAATTAGTCTCTGCATTTAACCCATCCACCACCAGGTGGTGCAGTGGGCAGCTATTGAAGGCGCCTGGGGGGCATTTTGGGGATGAGGTGTGCTGCCCAGAGACGCCACTTGATGTGCAGTGACTGGGGATCGAACCTGGGACTTTCGGGTCCCAAGCCGGCTGCGCTGCCTCTACACCATCTCGGCCCCCAATGGTCCAGGGCTGTGATCTTTGTACTTTACATGTGAGTAAAATAAACCTTCTGAAATGGAAGACGATCGTTCCTCCTCTCCCTGCTCCAGATGTTGAATATATTGTAACAATACTGTATGTGTATGAAGTTTTGTTGTAAGTTATGGGCAGGACAAGAAATTTTACAAACATATGTGCACATGTACGTACAAACAAACAGAGACTATATCATAATTCGTCCCACCTTGGACAAGTGTATAATAACTAAAAATGTGCGTATTGTTTCAAAAGTTATGTTGTTTGCGTATTGCTGTCAATTGTTAATCAGCACTAAAGCTGAAGATGAGCTGAGGCTGATGGGAAATGGAATTACAAACAGTTCTTTAGACTGGCTGAGTTTTATTTGAACCATCGTGTTTCTTACCGAACCCGCGAGCTGCTCAAACAGCCTCCTCAGACCTTTCTCTTCCTCCGACTCATCCTCAGGAGCGCTGGGCTTGGGCGGCTGGAGGACAGAACCAAATCAGTACAAACACACCTGCCGTCCTGACTGGACAGGTGACATCGTCTGTGATGTACTTACATCTGGCAGGTCGGCATCAACAGTGGTTCCCATCTCTCTGTGGGATAAAAACCACAAGCTCTTAAAACAAGGGAAAAGACAACAAAATCATTTTCTTTAATTCTTTTTTTAAATCGTCTAAAACTCTTCATTAACCAATGAAAAAGTATGAGTTTTTGAAACATCTCTTCTTAAATTTCTACAACCCCAATTCTGATGACGCTGGGACTTTGTGTGTAATTTAAATAAAAACTGAACGCAATGATTTGCATATTTTATTCTGAAAGAAGCGTAGGCAGTATATCGAGTTTAACCTAAAAACCTGTACCATTTTTTAAAAGGGAACACTGAATTCGAAAGCAGCAACAAGTCTTTAAAAAACTGGTCCAGGGGCAACAAAAGTAAACTATGAAAGTAAGTGATATGAATAAGAAACAGCTGGAGGAGCATTTTGCAACAAATTTGGTTAACTGGCAATAGATCAGTAACCTGGTATTAACCAGTAAGACTTACAGTAACCAGTAAGACGGGGTATTAAAAACATTTTAGAGTGGCTGAATCTCTAAGAAGTAAAGATGGGATGAGCTTGCAGTCTGCAAAAATCTAAGTCCAAACATATTGGGACAATTTCAAAATAATGTTCCTTGATGAGAAATTGTGAAGACTTTGAATATTCCATCACCTGCAGTTTATGTCATGAAGACATTTCTAGAATCTGCAGAAATATAAAAGGACAAGTCTTAAAGTCAGTATTGGATGCTCGTGAGCTCCAGGCCGCTGCACTGAGAACAGGTGTGATTATGTTCTGGACATCACTACATGGGGAACACTTCCACAAAGCACGGTCTGTAAACACAGTTCACTGAGTCGTCCACACATGAGTAGACCTCTGTCATGCACTGAAAAAGCCACATGTGAACATCATCAAAAAATACTTGTTTTTCTGGACCAAAGGTCGTTTAAAATGGACTGAAGCAAAGTGTAAACTGCTCTAAGATCAGATGACTTGAAATTTTAATTGTTTTAAAAACAACATAATGTCAAATTTGGAATATAATTTAAAATCTTACTTCTAACCTACAAAGCTCTCAACAACCTAGCTCCATCTTATATTACAGATCTTATTGTTCCATATTTTCCTAACAGAGCGCTTCGCTCTCAGACTACAGGTTTACTTGTGGTTCCTAGAGTTTCCAAAAGCAGAACGGGAAGATCTTCCAGTTATCAGGCTCCTCTCTTGTGGAACCATCTTCCAGTTTCTGTCCGTGAGGCTGACACATTGTCCAGTATTAAGACTGGGATTAAGACTTTACTTTTTGATAAATCCTATAGTTAGGGTTGACTTTGGTTTCCTGAGCTGTCCCTTAGTTATGTTGTTATAGGCTTAGACTGCTGGAGGACAGACTGACCACATTTCTTCAAATGAATAGTTACAAATTAATAGTTTGTATTTATTTCTATCTTAACATGTTTTCCTCCTTTAGAAAGTACACCTGGAGTGGACCCGTCTGTCTCTCCTTCCTGTCCTCTCAAACCAGCCGGTCGAAGCAGACGGCCACTCGTCCTGAGCCTGGATCTCCTGGAGGTTTCTTCCTGTTAAAGGGAGTTTTTCCTTTCCACTGTCTCCTTTGTGTTTGCTCAGGATGAGAGACTGTGATGAAGTGAAGATTCAACACAATCTGCTGCTTTCCTAGATAGAGAACTTTTACTAATTGGCTTTTTATGTTTGTGAATGTTTCTGTTAGGCAGCACGGTGGCGCAACTGGTGCTGCCTCTCAGCGAGCAGGTCCCTGGTTCAAACCCCGGTCCAGGGGCCTTTCTGGGTGGAGTTTGCATGTTCTCTCCGTGCATGCGTGGGTTTTCTCCGGGTGCTCCGGTTTCCTCCCACAAACCAAAAACATGCATGTTAGGCTGATTGGTAACTCTAAATTGTCCCTAGGTGTGAGTGAGAGAGTGAATGGTTGTTTGTCTCGTTTGTCTCTATGTGGCCCTGTGATGGACTGGAGGCCTGTCCAGGGTGTCCCCCACCTCTCCCACAGTGATGGCTGGACATGGGCACAAGTGACCCCTGTGACCCAAAAAGGAAGAAGCGGGTAAAAGATAATGGATGAATGGGTGGATGGCTTTATAGTTCAAGTCCAGGTTCTGAACTGACCTGGCTGTTGTCCAAACCTCTCACAAACAGAAAACATTTGATGCACCATCAAACAAAAATCAATGGACAAAAATCATTGGGCAAAAATGGGACAACGTTCCCCACCAAAAACTCAGGCTGTTGTCAAACAAATATGGGATGCTTTCCAGTAGGAAGTCTGGCTCTATTCCAACTTTCTGAGGTGTGATGCTGTAATATGTTTCAAATTTATCTTTTTATTTTAATGGTATAATTTCACCTCTAGCCCAGCACCCTGAGACTGCACACTTTTTAAACATTTGATATAATTACTATAGTTTGGGCTTTTAGGATTTGTAAATCATTGCATTCAGTTTTAATGTACATTTAAGTAAGTAAGTAAACTTTATTTATATAGCACTTATCATAGATACAATCACAAAGTGCTGTACAACAATAAAGAAATAAAGGCTTAAAATAAAATAAAAATAATAACAACTCATTAATAAAAACAGTAAAAACAGCTGGAAAAAACAGTAAAACATTTAACTAAAAGCTTGTCGAAATAAAAATGTCTTAAGCTGCGTTTTAAAAGAATCAACAGAGACGTTCACACGGAGAGACAGGGGCAGGGCATTCCACAGGCGGGGGGCTACGGCCTGAAAGGACAGGTCACCCCGAGTTTTAAACCGGGTCTTAGGAACCTTAAGAAGGTTCAGCGCTGAAGACCGAAGGGTGCGGGCTGGAGAATAAGGAATCAACATTTCAGTGATGTACTTGGGGGGCCTGTCCATTTAAAGCTCTAAAAGTCAAAACTAAGATTTTAAAATTAATTCTAAATTCAACAGGCAGCCAATGAAGATAAGATAAAACTGGTGTAATGTGAGCCCTTCTGTTAGTTCCTGTTAAAAGCCTCGCAGCAGAGTTCTGGACTAATTGGAGACGAGCGACGGCAGTTTTGTTAAAACAAGTAAAAAGTGAATTACAATAATCTAAACAAGAAGAAATAAAAGCATGAATAATCCTCTCCAGGTCAGATCTGGACAACATTGCCCTCAGTTTAGAAATGTTTCTCAGATGATAAAAGCAGTTTTTTACCAGAAGCTTTGAATGTTTGTCCAAAGACATGGACTGGTCGAACAGAACACCGAGGTTTCTGAGGTTCTGCTGAGAAGAGGAGCCCAGAGAACCCAGGTGTTGTTTAATCCAAGGAACTTTCAGTTCAGGGGCAATGATCAGGGTTTCCGACTTGTTAGAATTTAACTGAAGGCAGTTGTTAGCTAACCACGCCTTAATATGGGAAACACAGTTTACTAATTCAGCTAACTTATGTAATTCTGAGTCATAAAAGGAACAGTACAGTTGAATATCATCAGCATAGAGATGGTAAGACACATTTCTGAAGCTACTGATAATCTTTCCCAGGGGGGTGATGTATAGAAGGAACAGAATAGGACCCAACACTGAACCCTGAGGAACACCATTCAGTAACGGAGTGGTCTTAGACTGTATGTTATTAACAAACATTGAAAAGGTCCTGTTGCTCAGATAAGAAGAAAACCACTTAAGAACAGTTCCAGAAAATCCCATCTCATGTTGCAGTCGATGTATCATAATTTTGTGGTCGACTGTGTCAAAAGCTGATGACAGATCCAATAAAATCAAAGCACTGCTCTGACCAGAGTCTGCAGCCATCAATATGTCATTGGAGACTCTTAATAAGGCAGTTTCAGTGGAGTGCATCTTGCGGAAACCAGATTGAAACTTATCAGGAATATTATTATTTTGCAAGAAAGTAGTCATCTGCCCAGCCACTAACTTCTCCAGAATTTTGGCGAGAAAAGGTATTTTTGATATTGGCCTGTCGTTGCAGAGCTCAGTGGGGTCCAAGTTGGGCTTTTTCAAGATCGGATTTAAAATCGTTTGTTTCAAAAAACTTGGAACTGACCCGGTTGAAAGAGAGATGTTAATTAATTCTGCCACATGGGGGCTGACAATATCAGACACCTTTAAAAACAGTGATGTGGGTACAACATGTAGCATGCAGGAAGAAGGTTTGATCTTTTTTAGAACAACCTTCACATCCTCTAAAGTGACAGGTGAAAATGAAGACCAGGGGCTCACTGTAGGGACAGAACTGGGGGTGACACCAAGAGCTGATTTAACACTTGCCCTGATGTTGTCAACCTTTTCCACAAAATAGTTTAAAAATCTATTGCAGCCATCTAATGTGAATACAGGCACCAGAGGGAGTGAAGGTGAAACCATATTATTAATGGTATCAAACAAGACTTTAGGATTTAAACAAGCTCCCAACTTTTTCAGAATTAGGATTATATTCACGTTATAAAATTCACATTTCACCACTTGCTCTTGCCGAGGTCGGACGCTTTCCCCCTCCTCTCCGCTTTGCTTTGCTGCTCTGTCTTGTCTGTGAAACTGCTTCTGAGCCTCTCTCTACAAATCTTCCGAACCATAATTATGGACTTGTTTTGATCAGTTGGTCCCTCAACACAATTGATAACATTTCTTCAAAGAGAAGACAGGCTTTAGGCGAGCCGATTTGCCCTGTTGGCACGCACGCATCTGGATATTTCATCGACTTGAAGACTTGATGACATGTCTATCTCTGCTGCCATCTGTGGATTTTAAGGATGTGTTTATAATTAGATTTACAATAACTGGTTCCTGCTTTTTGGATTCGGCTGGTTCATGGTCTATCAACAATCAAGGAAGTTGTCGGCAGCAAATCTGAACCTGGTCAGGCTGCCTGACTTATGATGGCTTGGTTCATGCCTCGAGTACCCAGACTCAAACGCTTTTGGCAGAATGGATCAGATCTCTGGGATTTTACTCAGGGACGGTCCATTAGTGTGGCCATGTAATTTGGACATTTCAGAACCGAGTGGACTGACACAGACTCAAGGTAGCTGTCATTATAGTTTTGCCTGTTTACAAAACAACCGTGTGTTTATCTGAATTTGGCTCCCTTGGCTGGCCTTGAAGGCCATCTTATCTGAATTTGCCAGGAGGACATATAATCTAACGCTTTGCACCCCCCCCCCCTCCCATCGAGGAATTTCCAACTGATCAACCAGAGGAAACCAACTGAATAAACATTGTGTCACCATTTCAGGACTCTTGGATTCCCATAGGTGTTGTCCTTGGTCATTCCCTGACATCCCTTGAGAATGTTTATGGATCTCACCGGAGGACACTGGTTGATTATTCCATCCTTATCAGAACTCTTACAGTGCCCTCGAGAGCGTCCTTAAATCTCACCGTTCTCGTTGTCTCCCCTCCTCTGTGGAATGTCTACTTTACTATGTGCTTGTATGTGCGAGGTGTTTTTTTTTATATTAGAGGTTTTTTTTCTCAGCCAAGCAGAAAGAGTCTGATAGGATTTTTTTTTTGCCTCCAACTCCTACATGTGTCCAGTTTCACAACTTTTTGTCTGTCCAAACAGATGTCACTAGTAAATGAGTCTTCAAGACTCAATGTGATTTATCTGTCTAAATAAAGGTTGAATGAAAAACAATAGTAAAGTAAAAGTTTTGTCTGCTGTAGTTTTGGAACACTTACAGAGCTCCGGCCTTTTTCTCAGAGAAGATGCGAACGAGGAAGTCAGCCTCGTGGTGGGGTTGGAAGGTAGTGGGGACCAGCAGGTATTTCCCGGGGGGCAGGGTGAAACGCTCCGACACTTCCCGCATGTTGATGTAAGTTCTGCTACGAGCCTTGGATGCATGGTAACGGAAGAAATCCTTTCCCACTTGATCTTCCTCATCTGGAGCCTGAGTTAGCAAAAATAAAAATATTTTTTTTAAAAATAGGAGCACAGGACAATGATTTGAGTATGGTATTTGAAGAAAAAAAAAGTCCAAAATGAATGCATCAGTATGGACATCAGAGAGCTAAATATTGTCTTTAACCTTCATCACCAGGTTAAACTTATTGTTTTAAAAATTCAGATATAAGTTTGCATCTTTTGTTTGAGAACTTTACTAATTGGCTTTTTTATGTATGTTAAGTTTCTGTTCAGTGCCCTGAGACAACTTTGTTGGACGCTATATAAATAAACCGAACTGAACTGAGCAGGTCAGTCTTCTGACTGTTTGCAGATTTGTAGATAACTCATTTTCTAATTAAATAACTGTCAAAAACTGCGTAGCTTTGATGCAACATGTAGAAATTAAATCACTTTAGAGAAAGTTAAAAAACAAAAAAACATTAAAGGGCGGAACAATGGTGCAGTTGGTAGAGCAGCTGCTTCTTAGCAAAGAGTTTGTCGGTTTGAATCCCTGCCGAGAGGCGTTTCTGTGTGGAGTTTGCATGTTCTCGCTGTGCATGTTTGGGTTTTCTCCGGGTGCTCCGATTTCCTCCCACAAACCAAAAACATGCGTGTTAGGCTGATTGGTAACTCTAAATTGTCCCTAGGTGTGAGAGTGAGAGGGAGTGAATGGTTGTTTGGCTCTATGTGTCCCTGTGATGGACTGGAGACCTGTCCAGGGTGTCCCCGCCTTTCACACAGTGATGGCTGGACATGGGCACCAGTAACCCCCGTGACCCGAAATGAAAGAAGCGGGTAAAAGATGATGGATGGATGGATGGATGGATGGATGGATGGATGGATGGATGGAAAAAACATTAAAGCAAATAAGTCAGAGATGTTGAGTTTCAACGAGAAGAAATCTGAAGTTATGCTGTTTCCTCCCAATGACACAATCACCAACCACTGCATCGACCGATCCGTTCTGTCACCGTTAGTGAAACAAAGAGTCACTAATCTAGGCGTGATACTTGACCCTTCTCTGAAACTCAACCATCATGTAAATATGATTGTTAAATCCTGCTTTTTCCAGCTGAGGCGTCTGTCTAAGCTGAAGCCCATATTGTCCAAAAATAACCTGGAGACAGTAATTCTTGCATTCATTACATCCAGGCTCGACTATTGCAACTCACTCCTTTTTGGTATCAGTCAGACCTCCATAGCTAGACTCCAACTGGTCCAAAATGCAGCAGCCCGGTTTTTGACCAGCACAAGCAAAAGAGAGCACATTACACCTGTTTTGGCCTCCCTACACTGGCTTCCGGTTCACCTTCAAATCAAATTCAAAATACTCTTGTATGTCTATAAATCACTAAACAGCTCTGCCCCCTCCTATCTTACTGATCTGCTCCAGCCGTATGTCCCACCACGTTCTCTCAGATCAGCAGACCAGTTGCTCCTAACAGTCCCAGGAACCCGTCTCAAGCGCAGAGGTGACAGGGCCTTCTCTGTAGCAGGTCCAAGACTTTGGAATGAGTTACCTCTGCTCGTTAGACAGGCCCCCTCCCTCACAGTTTTTAAATCTCGTTTAAAAACACACTTTTATTCCCTGGCTTTCTGCACTGTGTGATCTGTGCTGAGTCTGTGTGCATCACACTGTGTTGGTCATGTTGCAGTTGTTGTTGTTATCCATTATTGTCTTTGTTGGTTTCTACTTTTTGGTGTCCTGTTATGTAATCTGTTGCTATGTGCTTGTTCTGTTTGTCCCTGTACAGCACTTTGGTGTGCTTTGTCACTGTTTAAAGTGCTTTATAAATAAATTGGTATGGTATAGTATGGTATGTTGTTTTGACCTCATACACAGCGAAGCCAATTGTCTCCAGGTCCAGGCCTTCTTTCCTCAGTTTTCGTCTGTTTTTCTGCATCACGGCGATCACAACACTGCACACGTCATCATCATCATCATCAGCATCCTCCAGATGCAGCTGGTACTGTGGGTTGGTCCAGAAAGTGTCTGCAGACAGTGAGAAAACTTTGTGAGGACACGTCAAGATAAAAATTAATTAAACAAAAGAAACTGCAGTGTGAATGCTGAGGGCTGAATGACTTTGCTGAAATTGCTGTTAAAGCAGAACAAAGATTGAAAGCAGCAAAACAGTAGCTAAAATAAACAAAACTGTAGCTAAAGGCAGTAAAACAGCAGCTAAAAATCAGCAAAATAGATGCTAAAAAGTTGACTATACAAATGCTAATTAATAAAACAAGTGCTAAGGCTAAAATGATCAAAATTGTAGGCCATCTAAAATAAGCAAAGCAGTAGTAAAATAAACAAAATAAAGACAACTATAGCTAAAGGCTAAAGGCAGCAAAAAATAGTGTAATATGTGCTAAAAAGGGGGCAAAATAAATGCTAATTAGTAAAAAAAAATGCAAAGGCCAAACTTTGCAAAATAGTAGAATATCTAAAATAAGCAAAACTGCAGCTAAGATAAGCTTCAGCTTTAGCTGTAGCTAAAGGCTAAAAGAAACATGACGGTAGCTAAAAAAGTAGAACAGTAGTTAAAAACAGACACTAGTGTAACGGTAGCTAACGCTAAAAGTAACAGGACAGTAGATAAAAGTAGCAAAAAAGTAAATAAAAGTAGCAAAATGAAATCCAAAAGCTAAAAGTAGCATAACAAGACAAACATAGAGCCAGTTTGCAAGAAGGTTTTTTGACGGTTTGAAGAGATCTTGATGTATTTCTGTGGGGAATTTTATTCAAAATGTAAAAAATCTTTTGAAAAGTATTAACATTACAAAATCTAGTAGCTACATCATATTTAATCAAGCAGAATATTTTGCTATATGAATAATTATAAAAGAAAAAGTTTGCAGAAGTAGAACAGTACAGTAAATAAAACTCATGTTAGAAACTACACTGCCTGGCCAAACAAAAAGTCGCTACCAAAAAACAAAAGGTCACACACTAATATTTTGTTGGACCGCCTTTATCTTTGATGACATCATGCACTCACTGTGTCATTGTTTCGATAAGCTTCTTCAACGTCACACGATCTGTTTCATCCAGTGTTGCATTCATTTTTCACATTGATGACTCGACACTCGTCATGATGGGTGCATCACTTCACCTGCCTCTCTTCTTACCCTGATGCACCCATCACTCTGGAACAGGGTCAGTCTGGACTCATCAGACCACATGACCTTCTTCCATTGCTCCAGAGTCCAATCTTTATGCTCCCTAGCAAATTGAAGCCTTTTTTCCCAGTTAGTCTCACTGATTAGTGGTTTTCTTAAGGTTACACAGCTGTTCAGTCCCAGTCCCTTGAGTTCCTTCTCATTGTGCGTGTGGAAATGTTCTTACTTTCACTGTTAAACACAGCCCTGAGTGCTACTGGTGTTTTTCTTCCATTTGATTTCACCAAACGTTCAAGTGTTCGCAGATCATGATCATTCAGGATTTTCATTTCTTCCTCGAAGACGATGGGTCCCACTATCCTTCCAGTTTTAATAATGCGTTGGACAGTTCTTAACCCAATAGTTTCTACAATCTCCTCAGATGTTTTTTCTGCTTGATGCCAATGATTTGACCCTTCTCAAACAGACTGACATCTTTTCCACATCATGTGTCTTTCAACATGGTGGTTTAAGAAATGAGAACAACCCATTGCACCAGTTGGGGTTAAATAACTTGTTGCAGCTGAAAGATAATCGCTCATGCAGTAATTATCCAACAGGAGGCTCGTACCTGTTTGTTTAGTTAAATCCAGGTGGCAACTTTTTTGACCATGCAGTGTATTACTGTAACAGGAAAATAATTATCTTACTGCTGACTCCCTTTTCACACAATAAGTTTGATTTTGAGCTGTTGGATACCAAAATAAATGTGAAATAGGAAGAAAAAGAAATTTGCAATTTACAAAATAACATAAAATTATTTTTAAACAATCTAACAAGGTTAAGTCAGGTCATCTGGAAAGATTGTTCTTTGTTGAGAAGAATCTTTTTAGTCCAGATGATCTGATTTAACCTTGTTAGATTTTTCTACCTGTATTATTGAGCATGCATCGGGATATTTTAAACAATGTGAGAAAAATGTGGCGCACCAACGAAGTTCCTGCATCCTCCAGCAGTGGAGCCGCGGATCCAGTTGCCCTCAAAAACGTTGACGTCCCAGTGGCGCTTCACATCCTCATTGAGAGCATCGGGGGTCATGTTGCAGATCTCAACTTTGTCATAGTTCTTTTTGAAGTCCTCAAACTCCATCCTGGATTCACAAAGACAAGTATCAGTTTATAAATGAATGTCACTAAAGCTGTTCAAAAGTTGCTGTTTTTTCTTCACTCTTTACTTTGAAGGGATAATAACAAAGAAAGGAAATGTAATACTGTAATAACATTTTTCTTCATAAAACTAAAATTAACATTTAAACCTTCAGATTGTTGCCAGTTTTACATTACGTGGGTGGGTCAACAGAAAAAATGTGACATTCCTGCTTGAAGTGACCTCAAACTGCACATGAGGTGCTACAGCTAGCTGCTAGAGTCTTTCACTTGCAGAAATAAAATAATTTTATGTAAATGAAAGAAATAGCATTTTTTAAAATCAAAATACATGATAAAATACAAAATACAGTACAATGCTGAGCACTAAATGGATTTGCTGAAAATTTATGAAGAAGACAAAATTGAATAAATAAGCCTGAAAAGGCATTAAAAAGCTTTTTTTAAAAAAAGCAGAATAGCTAAATGCAAAACAGAAGCAAAACAACGGATTAAAGTAAAAAAAAAATACAAAAAGGCTGGATATTGTAAGCAAAACACTTGCTCAAAGTTAAAGAAGCAAAATGCTAGGTAAAAGTAGAGAAGGATTATCTAGATGCTGAAAGTAACAAAAGGTTGGCTATTAGCTAAAAGTAACAGAATGGAAGTTAAGAATTATGTAATATAAGACAAGATCAACTGTGTAAAATATGCAAAAAACAATAAAAACAGAAAAACAATGGCGTGAATGCTGAATCATTTTTCATCTATGTAAAAGGACAGAGAAACAGTCAGCAGTGTAAAGGTCTATAATGTTTGCACAAACATACATAAATTGTGGGGTTTGGCAGTTTTATGACAACAGTAATACATTTTATTCTTAGTTCAGTCCAGTCTTGTTGGACTTTAACTTTGATTTTACAAACTGAGGTTGTTCAAAAAGTTATTTACTGCAAAATAAGCAACACATGGCTCAGTATTTTACACCTTCTTTAACTATTTTCTTATCTATTAAAAATATATTAATCAATACCTTGTTAACTTTTAGTTCAAATGCTACAACTTGGACATTTGTTATTTGATTTGCGTTGAATAATCCCAGTGGTCTTACCAGAATTCACCGTCATCAGATGAGATCTGCAAGATGCGATTTTTCTCTGCTTTGTCAACATAATCCCACTCTCTGGAACTGAAACACACAGAGCGCACAGCGGTTTAAAAACACAAAACATAATCGTGACAAAAGAAAAATAAATTCTCAATAAGTATCATATATTTTCCATTTAGAAAGTCTTTATATTTTTAGTATGTTGTTAATTAGATGGAAAAAGCTTTTTGTGTGTTTAAAGCAGAACTGCAAACCTTTCATTGTTATGCTGATGATATTCTATTATATTTATTCACAAAACCTGATGAAGCCAATTGGTTACTAATACCAGAAAAACAGAAGAGATGCTGATTGACCCCAGGTCTCTAAGTGACAACCTCCCGCTTTTTATTTATGACCAGAAAATAAAACAGGTCTGTTCTTACAGATATCTGGCTGTTCACCCAAACAATCTGTTCAAGTTCATGTTGTGCTCCCGTCTACAGCAGAGATGGTATTTTTTACATAGACTCAGAGTCTTTGGGGTTAACCAGAAGTTTATGGTTTTATTCTTGGAAAGCATCATCAGCTGTGGAATGTCAGCGTGGTATGGTAATCTCTCTGTGCACCTTCAACCTAAACTTAGTCGCATGGTACAAACTGCACTGAAGGTGATAGGAAGGACTGATCCCCCCCCTCCCTGCAGTCTGTCCTCAGACGTGCTCGTAGGTGCTGTCTGACCCCGCTCACATCCTCAACTCACAATACGAACTGTTACCATCTGCTAAACTGTTTAGAGTCCCTGCTTGTAGATTTAGCAGATTAAAAAAATCATTTGTCCCTACATCAGTGAGATTATTAAATAAAGTAGGCGTATAGTCTTTGTCATGCTGCTGATGCTCTGGTCTGATTTGTTGTTTTGTTTACTGCTGGAATGTATGTGGGAATGTGCAATATGTGTTTTTTTCATTGAGCAATGTTTTGTTGTTGTTTCTTTTTTCTTGTAGTGTTCACATGACTTTTATTGTTGTAATGTATTTAGTTGTGGCTGAAGCTTTGTTTAGTGCACGATGTCCAAGACAATTCACCCATTGGGGACAATAAAGTATACATCTATGTATTTACATCTAGAGACATAAAACCTGGATGACCCTCAATTCTCTGCTTTTAAACTCAGACAAGACAGACGTTATTTTGGACCTGAGCATTTTAGGAATAAACTGTGCAGGCTTTCCCTTCCTCTGGATGGTGTTATATTAGCCTCCTGTTCCAATGTAAAGGATCTTGGTGTTATTTTTGATCATGTCATTTAACCCCAACATGAAAAAAGTTACCAGGACTGATTTTTTCCACCTGAACAATATGTCTAAAATGAGAAACATCTTGTCCCAAAATGAAGCAGAACAACATGTTCATACATTTATTACTTCTAGGCTGGACTATTCTTTATCATCTGGATGTTCAGAAAACATTAAGTCTTCAATTGATCCAAAATGTTGCTGTTAGAGTCCCGATGAGAGTTAGAAGGAGAGGTCACATTTCTACAATTTTTGCTTCTTTCCATTGGCTCCCTGTCGTATTCAGAATATAACCTTAAATCTAACTTGTAACCTACAAAGCTTTCAACAACTTAGCTCCATCTTATATTACAGATCTTATTGTTCCATATTTGCCGAACAGAGCATTTTGCTCCTAGACTACAGGTTTACTTGTGGCTCCTAGAGTTCCTAAAAGTAGAATGGGAGGAAGATCTTTGTGTTATCAGGCTCCTCTCTTGTGGAACCAGTTTCTGTCGGAGAGGCTGACAAATTGTCCAGTTTTAAGACTAAGCTTAAGAGTTTCTTTTTTGTTCAAGCTTGTGTTAGCAATTATTTCAATCATTAAAATGTTTTCCTTTGTCATTCTCCACGTAGAAAGTCCACCTAGGTGATTCATTTTGTGTTTGTTTGCATTGTTTTTCTGTCCTGCAGCCAGTGGAGGCAGATGGCTGCCCAGAGTAAGAGGGGGACAGTTGAACACAGAGGCTCCACCATGTTTAATGATGGTCAGGTTCTCTTCACAAAGATGGCCTCCTTTACTCATCTCTCAAACCATTGTTCATCTCTATCAAGGATGTGAACATCTTCATCCCTGAAAAAGTGATAGCTGACTTTTCTCCTTGACTTGCTTGGCTATAACATCAAGTCTACAGTGAATGATGAGCAATGTCCTCCACAGAGAAGGAGGATGGAAGCAAAATCAAGACAACAAAGAGAGAAATCAGCCAGCTGTCAGAACAACAAGAAGATGCAATGAAGAAAGATCCATCGTGAAAACATAGCAAAGTGTTCATACCTGCCAAACAATGGCAGGTATGGACTGGTGGTTTCATCTGAAGTCCAGACAATGCCTCAACCTGCCTCAAAGCTCTGGTTACTCATCTGGAAAGTTATACTCAAGAAGCAGAAGCGAGGAGAATAAACAGTGTATTCTCCTTCACACCACCCAGAGTATACTCTCCTTGGCCGAGAATAACATGAGTAGATCCACCCAGAGTTGAGACAAAGAAGCATTTGAACTGGAGAAGCATTTGTAAGATGGAGGTTTGGCACAATGATAATGCCTCATGACTACAAAATCTAAAATCTGAGCACAGTGATCTTCCAGAACAAGAACCAGTACTCATCACTGTGGCAGGCGTCCAAGACAGAAATTTGGGTGCTGGACTGACAAGATCCATATCTGGTGTCTACAGAAACTGACTGGCCTCCATGAATGCCTAGCAGCACAAATGAACCAGCTGCTAATGGAAGAGACCCAACCAGAGTAGTTGACCAAAGGGCGGACTGTCCGGATCATAAAATCCTCTCAGCAAAGAGCAATTCCATCCAACTACCTGCCAATCACCTGCCTCTATACAATATGGAAGTTTCTATCAGGCATCATGGTAGCTAAGATGAATGGGCACATGGGTCAATATCTGAGCAAGGTCCAGAAGGGAATTGACACCAACATCAGAGAGGGGCAAGCAAAATAAAGCAATCCATAAAACCAGTTGACAGAACCATAGCTCAAGACTGCAAGATCAGACACACCTGGATAGACTAGAGGAAAGCAGAAGACTTGATGCCACACATGTGGATACTGGAATACTTGAAATTTTACATTATCAACAGGACACTAAAAACGTTCATCAAAAACTCAATGGGGATCTGGAAGATGACACTAGAGGCCAATTTAAAGTCAGTTGCACAAGTCAGCATCAAATGTAGATATACCAAGGTGAAGTTGTGTCCCATTCCTGTTCAACACAGGGCTAAACCCCTCAACTAAATCTTTGCAGAGTGGCTGTGGATCCTGGTTCCAAAGCAGAACAATCATCAAACACCTCCTTTACGTGAATGACTGCATGCCAAAAATGACATTGACTCTCACCAGGATGTACAACAGGAACATTGGAATGTCATTCAGCCTGGATAAATGCTGTTGAATGGAATCCAAGAGAGGCAAGATGATCACAACTGAAGGGGATGAACTACCTGAAGGCAACATTACAGATATCAGCTACAAACACCAGCTACAAACACCTTGCAATCCCACAAGCAAATGGCCATCATGATGAGGCCACAAGAAAGTCTGCCACAACCAAGTAGCTACAGAGCGTAAGGCAGGTCCTAAAGCGCCAGCTGAATGGCAAGAACAAAGTCATAGACATCAACACGTATCTAGTGCCAGTCATCAGATACCTATCTGGACAAAGTAGGAGATAGAAGCCACTGACATCAAGACTACAAAGTTCCTCACAATGCATGGAGGGTTTCACTCCAAGTCCAGCACACTGAGACTATACACTAAAACAAGGAGGGAGGCAGAGGACTAGTGAGCATCTGAGCCACTATACAGCATGAAACATTGCCTCTGTGCTGAAGGACAGCACAGAGGCACCGATCACGGCAGAATAAAAGCAATAGAGACCAGGGTGTACTATACCAGACAAGACCTAAGATGCAAGCTGTGCAAAGATGCACAGAAATAAGTGGTGAAGAGTCAAAGCGTCAGAAATCCCAGTTGTCATCAGTTGGTTCTGTGACCCCCAAACAGAAAGAATGGCTCCTACTACACATATCCCAGGTACAACCTTGGGGCAGTTCATGACACTAAACTGTAAATGATGAGAATTTTAGAAGTGGCAAGACCTGTTTTCAACCTACATTATCTTTTATTTATCCAGGTAGTCTCATGGAGCCACGAGAACTCATTTTCAAGAGAGACTTGTTTAGGGAGCAGATGGGGGGTTAAGGGCCTTGCTCATGAGCCCAGGGTGGGGCGGATGAGGATGGGGGCAGGTGTGGGTGCTTCACCTACCCCACCCACAATTTTGATGTTGTCGGGGCCGGGGCGTGAACCGGCGATCTTCGGATCACAGGCCCACCTCTCTAACCTCTGCACCACCACTCCCCCAAATAGATTAGATGTTTTAGTAGGATATGTTGTTTTTAGATCTTAGGTGTTGTCTAAAATAACTTTTTTTTTTTTAAATATAACCAAACGCAGAACTCAAAATCTTAAAAATTTCCTCACGTCACAGGTTTTTCTGCAAACAGCATTTACTGTCATGAGAAAGTTTATTTTTTGTTCTTACTTGTCACTCCAGGGCCCGTTCCATTCCACCTGACCCCAGGGGTTTCTGATTCGGACCAGCTTTATTGTCTGACCTCTGAACTTCACCTGAAAAGCAAACCAATATTCTCACATCTTTTTTTAAAAAAGTACATATTTGTGTCATTATTGCGTTTTTGTTGATCATTTTATGGTATTTTTTTGTCCTAGAACATTTTTCGAGTTCAGTGTACAGACTGCAAGGGCTGCTAGTGATTCAAGTAGGACCTTTAAACAACATCTTAGTTTGTTTTCTGCCCTCAGGTGGGGTGTGTCTTACTTCCTCCAAGCCTGTGATGGAGTATGCATGTCCCTTCACGAGGCCTGTGGTTGTTCTTGCCTCAGATTCTGCAGAGCTGGTGATCTGGAGAACAATCAGAGCAGCACACAAGCTCAATCAACTTGTTTGAAGAATGGGAGTTTAAGACATTTTATTGGAATAAATAAAAACATTTGAGAAAGTGGAAGAAATACAGTCTTACATCAATAGAGCATCCCATCATGGAGCCCCGGTCCAGAGCCTTCTTCATGATTAGGAACAGGTCGCTTGGAGCAGTCTTTGTTTCGTACATTTCACCAACTCCACCTGTGAAGTCCTCCATAGCCTCCATGGTGCTGCCACCTTTCAGGGACTCGTAGCTGCCATGTAGCCTAACGTAAACAGACAGATGACTCAGTGGCTAAAATATGCAGGACAAAGTGATAAAGACAAATAAATATTTGATTGCTGCTCTGTTATTTCAGTTTGCCCATGAATTGAGATCTAAGCTGTATGAGTTGTTACTTGGCGTAGGCTTTCTCCATGAGAGCGCTCCAGAACTCGTCGTTGGAGGCAGAGTGGAGCATGATGAGACGATTTCTGACTGTGGGCAGTCTGTCGTCCACCACCACATCCAGCCATTTGTTGTGCTGCCAGAACTGAGCGAGAAAACAGAACAGGTCAGAATGCTCCAACAAACACTGAGACCAGGTTTACTTTTTCTTTAAAACATTTGAAAAAGAGGCTGAAAGTAGAGAAACTATTCCTCTTGGAAAATATTAAATTTTTAAGATGTGTGGGTTTTCTCCAGGTACTCCATTTTCCTCCAACAGACCAAAAACATGCATGTTAGACTGACTGGTAACTAAATTGTCCCTAGGAGTGAGAGAGTGAATGGTTGTTTGTCTCATTTGTCCCTGTGATGGACTGGAGACCTGTCCCCCGACTCTCGCACAGTGATTGCTGGACATGAGCACCAGTGAACCCCACAACCCAAAAAGGAAGAAGCAGGTAAAGATAATGGATGATGGATGGATTCACTTTGTCTCAGTTTTTAGAAGCTAAGTGTGCAACACAGCTGCTTTAGTTCATTCCATACACTGTAAATGTTAAACTACAGTGCCTTGCGAAAGTATCCGCCCCCTTGAACTTTTCAACCTTTTGCCACATTTCAGGCTTCAAACATAAAGATATACAATTTTATTTTTTTGTGAAGAATCAACAACAAGTGGGACACAATCGTGAAGTGGAATTAAATTTATTGGATGTGTCAAACTTTTTTAACAAATAAAAAACTGAAAAGTGGGGCGTGCACTATTATTGGGCCCCCTTGCGTTAATACTTTGTAGCTCCGCCTCTTGCTGCAGTTCCAGCTGCAAGTCTCTTGGGGTATGTCTCTGTCAGTTTTGCAGAACAGCTGGAGCTCAGTGAGGTTGGATGGAGAGCGTTTGTGAACAGCAGTCTTCAGCTCTTTCCACAGATTCTTGATTGGATTCAGGTCTGGACTTTGACGGCCATTCCAACACCTGGATACGTTTATTTGTGAACCATTCCATTGTAGATGTGTCTTTATGTTTTGGATCATTGTCTTGTTGGAAGATAAATCTCCGTCCCAGTCTCAGGTCTCTTGCAGACTCAAACAGGTGTTCTTCCAGAATGGTCCTGTATTTGGCCCCATCCATCTTCCCATCAATTCTGACCATCTTCCCTGCTGATGAAAAGCAGGCCCAAACCATGATGCTGCCGCCACCATGTTTGACAGTGGGGATGGTGTGTTCAGGGTGATGAGCTGTGTTGCTTTTACACCAAACGTATCATTTTACATTGTGTCCAAACAGTTGGATTTTGGTTTCATGTGACCAGAGCACCTTCTTCCACATGTCTGGTGTCTCCCAGGTGACAAACTTTAAACAAACTTTTTATGGATATCTTTGAGAAATGTCTTTCTTCTTGCCACTCTTCTATGAAGTCCAGATTTGTGCAGTGTACGACTGATTGTTGTCCTATGGACAGACCTCCCACCTCAGCTGTAGATCTCTGCAGTTCATCCAGAGTGATCATGGGCCTCTTGGCTGCATCTCTGATCAGTCTTCTCCTTGTACGAGATGAAAGTTTAGAGGGACGGCCGGGTCTTGGTAGATCTGCAGTGGTCTGATACTCTTTCCATTTCAATATGATTGCTTACACAGTGCTCCTTGGGATGTTTAAAGCTTGGGAAATCTTTTTGTATCCAAATCCGGCTTTAAACTTCTCCACAACAGTATCTCGGACCTGCCTTGTGTGTTCCTTGGTCTTCATGATGCTCTCTGTGCTTTGAACAGAACCCTGAGACCATCACAGAGCAGGTGCATTTATACAGAGACTTGATTACACACAGGTGGATTCTGTTTATCATCATCAGTCATTTGGGACAACATCGGATCATTCATAGATCCTCACTGAACTTCTGGAGTGAGTTTGCTGCACTGAAAGTAAAGGGGCCCAATAATATTACACGTCCCACTTTTCAGTTTTTTATTTGTTAAAAAAGTTTGACACATCCAATAAATTTCATTCCACTTCACGATTGTGTCCCACTTGTTGTTGATTCTTCACAAAAAATTAAAATTTTATATCTTTATGTTTGAAGCCTGAAATGTGACAAAAGGTTGAAAAGTTCAAGGGGCTGAATACTTTCACAAAGCACTGTATGTTCAGACCTCTAATTTAAAAAGTTCATACATTTTGACGGTTTAGGTCAGGGGTCTGCAACCTTTACGGTCAAAAGAGCCATTTATGCCCCTTTGTTCATTAAATTAAGTGTGTCTGGAGCCACAACAACTGCTACAACTGTGATCATCAGCTGGTGGCCCGTGGACCACTTTAACTTTGTTGGAGGGAGTTTTTCTGGCCAGTAGGGGTGACTATAAAACTAAAAATATCAAATGGTTTTTAACATTTGCTATTTGTACATTTTAAGACAAAACAAATGACTGGATTGCTGTAAAGAAAGAAAAGAAAAATACAGATTTTAACAATTTTGTAAAATTTTAAACAATGACCTTTGCAGGCCTATTTTATTTTTTATTGTGGAAATATTAAGCATCCTACAATGAAGAGATAAAGCATAAAGTGAGTAAGCTTTAATCTTTGTATTGTTCTACTATTCACATATTTTGAAGAAAAATAAAAGGCTGGAAGATTGTTAAAATGACCTCTGAAAAGAATGAACTAACAGAATAAATGCAGTCAAGATCAAAGTAGATTTTGCTAAAAAAAAAAGATACTGATTGATGCAATTGTTATTTAAACCTCTTCAGTGTCATCAGTTTTGCATTACAGTTATTTTGGCTGAGTATTTTAACATTTACGAAGAACAAAAGCCCTGGATGCCTTAGTGCTACAGGTCACTGCTGCTCCTGTTTACACAAGCAAATGATCATTGAGTTCTTTGTACGGTAAAAACGAGTGTGTGGAGGAACAGAGGGTGGTGTAAAAGACTACAATGTAGTGTTTGCATGAACTGTTGAGAAATTTTGGAGCTGGAGATGGTTTAAGAGTGCAACAATCTACTTTGTTCCCAACACTGTTCAGACTGTTTCTACAGAGTGAGATCAAGTTAGCTGCAACAAATATTTTGGCTCATATTTACACGTGACACCTCTTCAAATTGGCTGAAATATCCCTTTAATCTATAGAAACGTACTTTCAGATGACAAGCAAGTTTTTAGCTTAACTACGTCAATAATTGCTCTATTTTCTAAAAATAATATATTGATTTTTGGTAATTTTCATAGTTTTTTTATAGTTTTATTTTGTTTTATTTGTTTGTTTTTTGTTGTTGTTTTGTTATGAGTGCAACATCCACATATGGCACATCTTTGCAATATATTCACGTATTCCTTGTTGGTGCGCCACTGAGAGGAAGTTATTCTTGAAACTGATAGATAATTCAGATTGTGTAATTTTAAAACATTGTTTGTTAGTTTGTTTATTTTAAACGTCATTTATTCACAATTTTTTTAACACAATAATAATAATAATAATAATAAAATAAGTCCTGTTTCATGGCTGTCAATCCGTTTTAGACTAAGGCTTCTTGGTACAGAAGCTCCAGTCAAAAATGAGACCCGTCGTTCAATAAACCAGGTCCAGCGTCGGGGCTCTAGAGCCAGGGGTGTACCTGGAAGTGGAAGATGCCAGCGTATTTGTGCTCAAAGTCCTGATCATGGGGGACAACCCGAGCAAGAGCGTCTTTTTTCATAGTCAAAGAAGCGATGGCTGCCAGGAGCCAGCAGTCACCTGCAGAGACACAACAGATGCCTCGTTAATCAACAAGACATGGTCCGAAGTCACGTCCGCTCATCATGAACGTCATATTAATGTGGAGCTTTAAATTATTTATGTCAACTGCTCTTGGATGATTAAACATCAGTACAACATACTAACAAGAACTGAGTGCACAAGTTAAATTTATTATTTTTCTTAATAAATTCACGCAGGATTAAACAAAGGTTTGTTTTACCAACACACACAACAATGGGAAGAAAAAACAAGGAAAAGGGATTTATGTAGTTTTACACAAGTTCTGAAAATCTGTTGGAGCCATTTCTAAAGAATTTTACATTCCCAGATCATCAGTTCAGACAACTGCATATAAGTACGAGTATTCAGAGTATTCAGATATATCCCCAGTTGGCCATAGTCTGGAAGATGACCAAACTATCAATTATAGGTGAAAGATGAATGGTTTAGATGTTCAGGAACGACCCAGAAACCACCAAGGCTCAAACCTGCCACGAACTGGAAACTACTGGACCACCAGTGTCCCTGTCCACATTGAGGCCAGTTAATTATCACCATCGAGAAGAAAGACACTAATGCTCCAAAAGCCACAACTCCAAGCTGGATTGAAAACTGCTGCTGTCCACATGGACAAACCAAAAGTCTTCTGGAAAAGAGTTTGATGGCTGGACGATACAAAACTGAGCTGTTTGGCCACAGTGACAGGAAGTCTGTTTGGAGGAGTGAAAGTGAGACTTCAGGCTTAAGAAACTGTATTAATTGTTAAACATGGTGGTAGTGGTATCATGCTGTGGTACTGCTGCACTGTACTTTTATTGTACAATGTACTTTTTATCCCCCACATTCAAAACGTTACTAGAACCTCCTTCTTCCACCTGCGTAATATCACAAAGATTAGAAACATCTAAAGATGATGCAGAAAAACTGGTCCATGCATTTGTCACGTCTAGACTGGACTATTGCAATGGTTTATTATCTGGGTGTACAAATACGTCTTTAAAACGTCTTCAGTTGATCCAAAATGCTGCTGCCAGAGTCTTAACTGGAGTTACTGGGAGAGATCATGTCTCTCCAGTTTTAGTTTCTCTCCATTGGCTCCCTGTCAAATCCAGAATATAATTCTTACTTCTAACCTACAAAGCTCTCAACAACCTAGCTCCATCTTATATTACAGATCTTATTGGTCCATATTTTCCTAACAGAGCACTTCGCTCTCAGACTGCAGGTTTACTCGTGGTCCCTAGAGTTTCCAGAAGCAGAATGGGAGGAAGATCTTTCAGTTCTCAGGCTCCTCTCTTGTGGAACCAACTTCCAGTTTCTGTCCATGAGACTGACACATTGTCCAGTTTGAAGACTGGGATTAAGACTTTCCTTTTTGATAAATCCTATAGTTCGGGTTGACTTGTTATGCTGCTATATGCTTAGACTACTAGAGGACAAATTTACCTCATTTCCTTAAATTAATTGTTAAAGTTTAATAGTTTTCATTTGATACTAGTTCTGTCTTAACATGTGATTCTTGACCTGCCATTGTGTATCTGTTCTTCTGAAACCCAGCCGGTCAAAGCAGATGGCCGCTTGTCCTGATCCTGGTTCTGCTAAAGGTTTCTTCCTCATGAAGAAGTTTTTCCTTTCCACTGTCGCCTTCATGCTCGCTCAAGATGAGTTAAAGTCAAAGCAGTCTGCTCCTCAGATAAATAATGTTAAATTATTATTTTTATATATGAATGTTTCTGTTCAGTCCCTGAGACGACGTCTGTTGTGACTTGGTGTTATATAGATAAACTGAATTGATCTGAACTGAATTACAAAGAGGATGGAATCATGACCTCCAAATTCTTTAACGTCAGGTCAAAAAGTTTGAAGCTTGGACCAAACGGTGTTCTGGGATGAAAATGTTCCCGAACACACGTCAGAACTTGTTCCTGACTGAATAAAGCAGGCTGACATGAAGATTCTGGAATGGCGTTCCCAAAACCCTTGACTTCAACCTGACTGAAAGTTTGTGGACTCCGATTAAAAGTGGAGTTTTTTTCCAAGAAATCAACCAGTTTAAAACAACTCTACCAGTTCTGCCAAGAAGAGTGGTCCAGACAGAATTCTTACTGATGGAGACAAAAATCCTGCGGTCAATGTTTAACCTGCTCTGGGTCATTTAACCAAATATTAGAGGGGTGTATGGATATAGTTTATCCAGTTTGCTTTAACCCTGTGTGGATTAAAGACGATTATATCAAATCTGCTGTAAATTCAAACTTATGCACCCAGTTGTTTAAAAAACATTAAAGTGTTATGTTGCATACAGTAATCATTCCTTTTGGTAAAAAAAAAAAATACTTCAGCTAAATCATTTGAAACTCCAAATGAACAAGGCAGTGAGTAAAGCTGACTGCATGTCAGACAGCGGGTACCCACCAAGCTGTCCTTGGCAAATATCAGTCCTGTCGGCTCCGCCCACAATGAACTTTGGGCTGTCACAAATCTCCTGAAGTGTGGTAAAACAAGAAAAGAGACAGGTTGGTTGGTTTTAAAAGAACAGGTGACACTGCTACGTTCTTAATAGGTGTGTTCACATTCCACAAATCTTAATCAGCCGGAAATCCCAGTTACTCCAACAGAAAACACACACTCCATGCTGGCAGCTGAAACATTACTCTGAAGGAACGCCCCGATGAGAAATGTGCAGCAGTTGTACAAACAAACACGATCAGTGAGTTTTACAGGCGGCAGTGCTTCTACGTTATCTAAAAAAAACTAAATAAGAACTTTATATCGCTTTCACAATTTCACATAAACAAATAAGAGCTTGTCGTGTGAAGCTGTGTGCAGGACCCGCTGCAAACAGCTCTCACCACAGAGATCATGGAGGTGACTGGTCTGCTGCATCAGCTTTATTTACACAGTTTCAAGCAGAACGGGTTTTTCAGCCGTCACCACGTTCACACAGACCATTTAAATAATCACAAGTCAAACTTTATTTTCACGTAAAACCAAGACTACTTGGCACATGGAGCTTTCCTTGGCCTTCATTGAGATGAATTCCAAAGAATGACATCAATGGGATGAACAGACCTCACAGCTGAGCCGTAAAACCCCAGATCTTACATAAAATGTCACTGGTCCTTACCTTGGGCCTCTTCCATTGAATCTGAACAGGAACGCTCTGGCTGAAATACAGTGAAGAGTCAGTGGCAGGGAAGTCTGGGTCCTCAAACAGGACCCCCTTCTGAAGACACTCCTGTCTGAGCTGCTCAAAGGTTTTCCCGCCCCACTGAGTGCTCTCGGCCTGGATGGAGCTGGAGCTCCTGCCAGACAGGGTGGACTGCAGAGGCATCTTCTTCAGCTGGAAGCTCAGGGCACGGAGGGAACGAAAGAGTGAGGAGAGCTGTGATTCACTGAACGACCTGCCCTGGGTCTGAAGCAGGGACAGCTCTGTCAGATGGGTAGGTCTGCTTTGTGCACACACCCAACCAGACAGAAACTGGTTTTTCCTCTGGGCAGTGAACCTGTCAGTCTTTTGGGCTTGGTCTACAGGAAGAGTCATCTCTGCTGACAAGGCAACAGAAACAATAAATGCCTTGAAAGTGAGTTACAGCGATCTGTCAACGGCGCGTTGCAGAAAGAGCAGTTCGATCTAGCGTCCATCAAATCTACAGAGTCGTCAGAATTTTACTGTTCTGGAAATAAGACAATGCAGGGAAGTTCTTTAAACTTCTAAAGCTAAGCATTTTCAAATCATCTTTATTAGAATTGTTTACCTGCAAACACATTCAGGCCTAGCATTCATTGAAGCACTGCATACCACCCACCACCTTTCATGCCACAGTTTTAGACAAGACCGTTTTATTTATTTATTTATTTATTTATTTATTGTTTAGGAAAAACAGAATTATAGCTGTTTTGATCAAACATTGAAACTAACATTATGTGACCCAGAGGTCATGCTCCCAGTTTGTGTTATGAATGACTTTCAGCTGCAACCTCATCAAATGTTAGTTTTTTCATTCAACCTTTATTTATACAGGTTAGTCCCATTGAGCTTGAGAGATGTGATTCTAACAAAGAGTGATGACAACAGTGGACAACAAAGTCAACAGTAAACAATCCTAAAGGATGCGTACGAATTGAGAATAACAAGTGAAAATAAAATGGTATTAAAAATGTAACAAAAAAACAACTAAATGGACTGTACTTATATACAGTAGCACCTTTCTATCTTATTTCAAGACACTCAAAGCTCTTTACAACAATCTGTGTCTCATTTATCCATTCATACAGCTCTATACTAGATCTCTACAAAGATAATTGAACAAATCATTCTAAAGAGACTAATCAGAGCTTTAGATCACATTCATACACTGATGGGACACACATCAGAGGCTATGAGGGGTTCAGTGTCTTGCCCAGGGACACTTGGACATGTGACTGCTGGTGGATTCGAACCCCCAACTCTCGCATTGGAGGACGACTGCTCTTACCACTCAGCCAGTATTCACCACCTTACAGCTAGGTTGTAAGGTGGTGAATACTAAAAACAGGAACATGTCTGTGTTGGTTTTTCCCATGAACTTAACAGATGTTTGAAACCACTTAGAGAGGTCAAGGTCGAGAGCTTCAGATCTTTTTGTAAGATATTCCAGGAAACAGGAGCGAAGAAGGAGAAGGACCTTTTGCCTAGTTCAGTCCTCGCTGAGGGAACACTGCAGGTAATAATGTCCTGAGAGCGCACGCTGTAGCTGCACTCACACAGAGACATGTAGGAGGAGATGTATGAAGGCAGCAGACCAAGAAGTGATTTAAAGATGAAAAATGTACCAGTGAGAGAGTCTGCGTGAAGTTAATGATGCCCAGTTAACCAGTGAATACTGGGAGCAGTGGTGGGTACAGTATTTACAGCCAGTTATGAATCTTAGCGCACCGTGACAGGCAGCATCCAACATCTGCAGGGTGCAGATGTTGACAGTTTAATATACTGTATGTAAAACTGATTGGGTTTAGAGTTGCATTCAGTCCTAAAAAATCCAACCCAGCCTGGACCAAACCCGTATCATTTTTTCTGAACCCGACCTGAACCCGACCTGAACCCGACCTGAACCCGACCAGTTAACTATGATCACAGACCTGAACCCGGAAAATAAAACTTTTTAAAAAATTTTATTAAGCTTTTACTGCAAGCAAACCAGTTTGACATAGTCTAAAAACATATTTCAAAGAAAGGAAGATATAAGATTTCTTGTTTAATAACAAGAGTCAGCAGAATATTATAGTTATTATAATATTATAGTTATTAATGGTTGTCGGCCACGCGCATTCACTGACTCAATCAAAAGCTTGAAACCAACCCGGCCCACCCATCCAGCACATTATTTTTGCCCGACCCGTATTTCGGGTCAGGCCGGGCTGGACCCGGGTTAGAAATTGGGTTGTAGCATTTTTTTTTTTGTTGTTCTTTTTGTTTAAAGTCAGCTAGTCATGGCTATCATTGCTCTTGATGTTTTTAATGATCAAAATATCACAAGAATTATAGTTTAGTGGCCTCAGTGTTGGCGTTTCCCTTTGGTCAGTGTTTTTGTTACACTCTGTGGTCACTGTACTGTAAAATACTCTGCATCAGTCGAACCACAAAAACCTCAAATCAAATCAGAATGGTACTATTTGTGCACAGCATTAGTACACAAAGTAAAGTTGTGCAGAAAACAGTAAATGGCTGAGTGTTGGGGTAATTTTTTTCTTCTTTCAGCTGCTCCCTCTTCGGGGGTCGGCACAGCGAACTAACTCGCATGAAGGTTTGGTGATTGTTTTTACACCGGATGTCCTTCCTGATGCAACCACAGACCACTGAGCTACCACCGCCTCTGTGTGGAGCAGAGAGCTGACATGTAGGGTGCCCAGGGGAGAAGATGGTGGGGGTTAATGGCTTTGTTCAGGGCCCAGAGTGGGACAAATGAGGGTGGAGGCAGGTGTAGGTGCTTCACCTATCCCACCCACATTTTGATGTTGACAGTCCAGGGAGTTGAACCAATGACCTTCTGATCACAGGCCCACCTTCTCTAACCTCTGCACCACCACTCCCACATGTGGGGTAATATAAGATATTTAACATTTAAGATAAGATAGAACTTATTGAGTAAATTTTAATTTACCCAGTATACTTCTCAGAAAATGTCCTAATATATATACAGTATATATACAAATATATATATATATATATATATATACACATATATATATATTTATACATATATTTATATATATATATATATATATATTTGTGTGTGTGTGTGCGTGTGAGAGAGAGACAAACAAGAAGTGCAACACAAAACTGAGTGTGCATAACTGTTACCTTGAAAATGAACATTTTTGTATCTTCACTTTTCATCAGTTTCAAAATCAAGTGTCTTCAAGTTTGTCTCCTGGTCCAGATCTACCATGAGGGCCCCTGTGGTGCAAAAGGAGCCATTAACATTGAGTGATAAACATGTATGCTTAAAGCAGGGCAGCACAATTCACTCAGTCTGTAGTTTCTGATTTTGATCCAAACACTCACAAAAATAGAATATTGGACAAAAAAGAATTACTTATTATATTTTGCAATGTTCTACTTGGCGTGCAAATTCGCCACTGGACCTTGAATTTTATATGTGGAGCACTTTTGTCATAGAATTTTTATTTTTGCTCATTAAAAAAAAACTTTGAGGAAGTTTTATTTTACTAAAAGACTAGAATGGTTTTAATTAACAATAATAATAATTTTTAAAGACTCACAGGCATATTTTTTAACATAATTTTTTATTAAATTATTGATTTTTGTGACCATACAATACCATATTATTTATAGAGCACTGAAAACAGCTACAAGGCCAACCAAAGTGCTGTACAGACAGAACAGGTAACACACAAAGCAAAATACAAAATGAGGTAAGTCAGAAATACAGACATAAAAATGATGTAGATAATAAATATGATGACAAACCAGTGTAGAGCATACAGGTTCAAAACACAGATCATCTGGTGTTAAAAGCTACTGAATAGTAGTGAGTTTTTAAATGGGACTTGAAAACCAAGAGGGAGGGGGCCTGTCTGACAAGCAGAGGTAACTCGTTCCAAAGTCTTGGTCCTGCTACAGAGAAGGCCCTGTCCCCTCTGCGCTTAAGACGAGATCCTGGAACTGTGAGGAGCAACTGGTCCGCTGACCTCGGGGAACGTGATGGGACATACGGTTGTAGCAAATCAAAGAGATGGGGGGGGAGAAACTGTTAAGCGTTTTGTAGACATGCAGGAGTATTTTGAAATGGATTTGAAAGTGAACCGGTAACCAGTGCAGTGAGGCCAAAACTGGTGTAATGTGCTCTCTTTTGCCTGTACTGGTTAAAAATCGGGCTGCTGCATTCTGGACCAGTTGTAGTTGTGCAATGGAGGTCTGACTGATACCAAACAGGAGTGAATTGCAGTAATCAAGCCTAGATGTAATGAATGCATGTATTACTGTCTCCAGGTTCTTTCTGGACAATATGGGCTTCAGTTTAGACAGCCGCCTCAGTTGGAAGAAGCATGATTTAACAATCATGTTTACATGATTGTTAAGTTTCAGGGAAGGGTCCATTATCACGCCCAGATTAGTGACTCTTTGTTTTTCTGACAGGGTCAGAGCAGAGAGGTCGATACAGTAGTTTGTGATCGTGTTATTGGGAGGGAACAACATGACTTCAGACTTGTTTTCATTGAAACTTAAGAAGTTTAAAGCCATCCAGTCCCTGATGTCAGCCAGGCAGTCGAGCAGCGGTTGAATAGAACATGTACCATTGTGTCTTAGGGGGAAGTAAATTTGACAGTCATCGGTGTAGAAGTGAAAGGGCATGTTGTGTTTCCGGAAAATAGCACCAAGTGGCAGCAGGTATAAAGAGAATAGGAGGGGTCCCAGGATGGACCCCTGCGGAACCCCCCATTTAAGCTCTGCCACTGCAGAACTAAAATCCTTGATGGAGACACAAATGGATCTGTCAACGAGGTAGGATCTGAACCAATTGAGGGCTGACCCTGTGATGCCCACCCACTGCTCCATCCTAGTAATGAGGATCTCATGGTCGATGGTGTCAAAGGCGGCTGTGAGGTCCAACAGGACAAGCAGCACAGAATCTGTGGATAAGAAAATGTCATTAAAAACCTTCAGTAGGGCAGTTTCAGTGCTATGGAGAGGTTTAAAGTCAGATTGGAATAGCTCTAGGATAGCGTGATCCTTCAGGAAGCACTTCAACTGGGACTCAACTATTTTCTCTAGTAGTTTAGAAACAAAAGGAAGTCTGGAGACGGGCCGGAAGTTGGATACGACTGACCAGGCGGAGTTAAACAATTACAGACCTATATCTAAATTGTCTGTACTGGCCAAGGCCCTGGAGACCTTGGTCAGTGAACAACTGAAGGACTTTCTAAC